TAATAGCAGACAATATACTTAGTAGCTTACATTCAAATTCAGTGCAGGCAGAAAATTAAGAAAATGTTGAATAACAAGGAGTAGTAGATGATGGACTTCGTGTATTAGGATTAGGAAATAATCATCATTTTAATGCCTTAAACATTATAGAAATGACGAGCAATGTCCGATTTATAAATCTTCCAGCTATAGTTTCAGCTGAAAGTTAAGCCGATATATTCAGGTCTCTAAACTTCAAGCAGAATAATAATTTACACATGTTTTGCACAATGTCAAAATCAAATTCGAATTTGTTGTTGGTGTGGGAAAGAGCCGACTTATTTTAGCCCTTTTTCAGTCTTTGTCCGTAATGTACAATATTAGGCCAGGAAGTGATCCAACTTCTCCTAAAATACTATTGTGTGCTCCAACATGCAAAGCAGCTTTCGTAATCAGTGGCTCAACACTGCATTCCATGTTTTCATTACCAGTTAATCAATCTGGTTCCGATTTTAGGGCCTTAATGATTTAGTAAAAACATATTTTTGAATACTTCCCCATTTGGTGGTATTTCTGTCATAGTTTTCGGGGATCTACGACAGTTATGACCTGTCACCATTGGATTTTCGAATCAAACTCTAATGATCCCTACAGTGAAATTTCTACGTCATTGCCGTTGAACCTTTTCAAGTGTTTTGAGCTCACAGAAATCTTGCGACAACGGGAGGACCAATCGTTTGCTTCTGATTTTAATAATAGGGCATCGGGAAACTTGACAGGCGAAGATATAAGTCTTATCCGATCCCACATTTCTCAGCAATCGAATGTGCCCGATAATGCTATTCATCTATTTATTACAAATGCGGCGACAGATAGCAATAACACGATAAAGCTAAATTCGATTCCGACTCATCAATTGATTTCTACCGCTAATGATTTGATTAAAGCAACAGATTTATCTGCGGATTGTAGACAGAGAATCTAACAAGCCGTTAGTAGTTTAAGGTCGTCCAAAATACAGGGATTGTGTATATCCCTTTTTTCTAAAAACCACTGCCAAATATATGATGACGGTCAATGTAGATACTGGGGATGGATTAGTTAATGGGGCAACAGGCATGTTAATGCAAATAGATTTCGATGCATCCAGCTTTTCCATAACTTTATGCTAAAATTTTCAGATGATACCGTAGTACTTCCTCGCTCAAAGTGAACACAGGGTACAGAAGCTTTTTGGACCCCAATTCAAAAGATAGTTAAAAACCTTAAGCATAGAAGAAATTAACACATTTCTATTGACTGTAGGCAGTTTCCTGTTGTACCTGCAGAAGGTATAACTATTCACAAAAATCAGGGGGTTTCGTATGGACGAAAAGAGGTGGTTCACACTTGCTCTGTAGTAGATCAACAACTGCTTCCGGGTTGTTTATTATAGAAGATTTTGTTCTTTCTAAGCCAACGAAAAATGACCATAAAGAAATTACGGACTGGAAAACTATTTAGAACACATTTTGATCAATGAGTTAACAGTTCCGCCTAAGTAATTTTCTTTCATAATACAAAGAGTACTCACTGTCAAAAGGGCTTGTCCTCAGTTGAGAGTGATTGACGTGTTTTACTTGTGCTCCAAGATTTTTATATTTTTTTGCGCTTTAATCCTACTTTTTATACCTTGAACCCATTGAAAAGGGTATATTGTATTTGTGCAAATTGTAAATGTATTTTACAGGCAGAAGGAAGCGTTTTTGACCCCGTAAAGTATATATATATTCTTGATCATCATCAATAGCCGAGTCGATGTAGATATTTCCGTATGTCCGTCTGTCCGTATGTATGAACACAAGGATTTTAGAACCCATAAGAGCTAGAGTCATTTAAATTTTACCCGTAGGTCCTCCTAGTGCCCGCGCAGATAGAGTTTGCTTCCGATATTCGATAACTTGTCCAGTTTTCATGTAATCGATAAGAATCGAGATCGAAATCCTGCTTTTTGAGCAAATTGCACTAACGTGCAAATGTGTATTTAAAGAAGCTCATATTGACAAGTGTCACGCAAGTTGGGAAAAATAACGCATAAACCAATAACAACAACAGTGGCAAGCGCAGCAACATAACAACAACTAAAACAACAACGGAGAAAAAAATAAAAGTATAAATTACTGACTGAGTATGGTGTGGCAAATTTGCCAAGTGTTATATAACACCACAAGGCCCTCGACTTGGGAAAACGCCAATAAACTTGCCGGTGAGCTAGATTACTTAGAGGCGGTTGGGCGCAAGCACAAAGCACAAGCTGTTCATTACCCAATAAGAAACTTATCAAAAGCTTATAAACCAACAGAAGAAAAGACGCTACCTATGATAACGAAAAGATGCCCTGACGACTGCGCTGGACCATTTTACATCCCGGTCTGTGCACTGACCTGCATTGCCAACGTTGAGCGCTCCAAGGCAGCCAAATAATCTAAAGAAAAAATAGCACCACACCAATAGCAGCAGCAGAAGAAGCAGTGTTATCTAAGTTACATTAAAATGTTTTTATAAATTGTAATGACGCGCACTATGTTGTGTGTGTCAACGTAAAGTACAACCAAATTGTACGCCAAATTAGAGAGGAGATCAGTGCATTAATAGAAGTAGAGTTTTAAAATAGACACAAAAACAAAGGCCTTCGCTGTGTTCGCTGTACTCTGCTTGTAGTTTTGTCGCGTCATTGGCTATAGCAATAGCCATAGAGTAATAAATACAAAGAGAGGGTGTTTGAATCAAAAGCTCTTTTTCAAACATTCTGCAGCAAGATAGCGAGGTTGCAAACACAACGCGCGGCTGTCTGCAGCTACTTTGGCCGATGCCCACAATTCAATGACAACTTCAAAACATTTTCCATAAGAGCCAACAACAACCAAAAACAAAACAATCGACTCGACAATGAAAAAAGCACCCCACAAATTCTGTCCTTGCTATCTCTTTTTTGTTTGAGGCTACAGCCTATGATTATAGCTTCTGCACCCTTCTAACTTACTGTTGTGGTTTCTAAGCACTGCTATGCCTATAACTCCTAAGGTCATGTCTTCTTCTCCAGTCCCTTTCAACTCCCAATAAAGGGTATAGGGCATATTAACTATTCATAAGCAATGTAACCAAATAGCACAAACCTTCTATTATATACATTTTTATCCAATGTCTAGGAAAACTATAATTTCGTATTTAGAGTGCAACCATTATTAATAATTGTTTTATTGAAACGTTATATGCCATTTCTATAAATAAGAGAATTAGTGCCGCGACTCGCCAATTAGTTGTTGTATGTGTGTCTCATTTCACACATATTGGTGCACATCTGCATATATGTATATGTCTGCCAAGCCAAGGGAAGTCTTTCAACTTATGAAGATTGCAATATTATGTTGCGCATGTGAAGTGGGACGTCCTAAAGCTTAAGTCTGTGGGATCATTTCGTATTTAAAATGATTTATAAAGGACCCTATTCATAAATTATTTAAATGAACATTATAATTATAAATCAAATTCTATAAAATGTGACGTCATAATTTCTTATGTTAACGTGCCGTGCGCATGATCTTTTGGTTTGAATGCCATGACCTGCTGGAATTCAAATTTTTTACCTACTTGCGTCGAGACTTCGCTCTGGAACAACAACATTAGTACCCAAATTGTGCTATTGTTGTTTCAAGGCAGCGTTTGGCCCGCAAAGAACACAGTGGAATTATCTGGCCAATTTCTTTGCAGTGAATTTTCTATGTCCTCGAAATCTGATCAACTCTGTATCTGTTTATTAATCTATGACACAACACAATGAAAACGGGTGTGTCATCGCCAATAAACTTAACAAATTAAAACTATATACTTACCTTCAATAAAATTATAAAAAATTGTAGCTTGATTAGGTGAATCGTAACCAACAACATTAAGCTACAATCACACATATTTTTATACTTACCTATTCATAGCTTCATTTTTTACTTTTTACGGCCTATAAATAAAAATATCGTTTCTTACTGGCATTCTATCACCAATCAAAATACGTACCAAATACTTAACGTAAAGTTAACATAAGTAGGTAGTTTATAAGAGTTCTGCGCCAATTTTGCGGTTTAACCGCAAAAACCGCAACCGCAAAACCCGCAACCGCAAAAACCGCAACCGCAAAACCCGCAACCGCAACCGCAAAGGTCGCAACCGCAAAGGTCGCAACCGCAAAGCCGCAACCGCAAAGAAAAACCGCAATCTGATAATTTAACCGCAAAAACCGCAACCGCAAAACCCTCAACCGCAAAAACCGCAACCGCAAAACCCCGCAACCGCAACCGCAAAGGTCGCAACCGCAAAGGTCGCAACCGCAAAGCCGCAACCGCAAAGAAAAACCGCAATCTGATAAAGCGTGATCGCATAAGCCGCAACCGCAAAAGCCTAAATCGCAATCTCCAAAAGCGTAAGCCGCAACACCGTAATCTGAAAAAAGCGTGATCGCAAAAGTCGCAACCGCAAAAAGCTGTGTGTGGTGTGTTGGGGGGGGGGGGGGGGGGGGGTTACTTAAAATAAAAACCAAAAACTTTTTTTAATGATATTTTAAATATTTATTTATTTATATAAAATTATTTGTAGATTACATTACAAAGTTCTAGAATACATTTCTATATTATAATTATCAATATTAGAACTATTATCGTTATTATTATTATTATCAGTACAGTCGTATAAAAATTCACGTACTGTCCGATGTGTAATATTTATTGCAAACATTATAGCTATAAATATTATAAGAAACAACATTATTAGAAATAAAATATTTACTGTAAGAACCAGTTTTGGAATAACTGGAGTTCTTATAAGATCTATATTATCAATTGTAACATCATCTTCGGTTATTGATGTTTGAGTTGAAACATCGTTAACCATTCCAAATATCTTGATGAATAATATGCCTGTATAATTTGTTGTTCTCGTTGTTGCTGCTTCACCTTCAGTTGTTGTTGCTGTTGTTGTTGACGCTTCACCTTCAGTTGTTGTTGTTGTTGATACAACTTATTTAAATACAAACAGAAATCAAAATGAATTTTATTTTTTGTGTATATTGCGGTCAACGCTTTCAACATAATACATCCTTAAGACGACATTTAAGATGTAAACATAACATAAACAATACGACAGTTGACAATACACGATATTGTGATTTATGTGATGTATATGTTGCAACCGTTAAATGGTCTCACCATTTACGTACTAACTTACACAAACAGTTATCTAGTGTTCATATAAATGATAACTTGAGATGTATAAGAAGTGCATTTAAAAATCGTATTGAAGCATACGTAATTGAAAATCCTAACAAATACTGTTTAAATATAACAACATTTTTCCAATTGATCAACAAACAAGTGTATGAATTACTAAGAGATGCTTTACAAAAGCATATTAATATAAAGTTTAATTTTGAACTATACTGCAATTATGTGTTAATCAAAGAAAGTGAAGACTACTATAAAACGGATCTAAAATCACATCAAACGAAAATGCAAATATTGCATGCTACAATGGATGATCGCGAGCTGAATGGGATAATTAATGAACTATATGATTATATAAAAAATGAAATGAGTGAATTTCAAGAACGAGACAGCGGTTGGTCTTTATCTGAAATAGCACATTTAGAAGTGAATATTAATAAATATCAACCGCTAAAGGGTACAAATTTCATTTGTTTACCGCGAAAAATAATGAATAAAAAAGCGTGTGTTAATGTTCAAAACAAAGATATATATTGTTTTAAATGGGCATTAATATCAGTCTTCTTTAATAACAATGATAATGTTGAGCGTCACTATCGTGTTTCTTTATATAAAAAACAAATTCATGACATTACCGCTGATAAAATTATAATAAATAATAAAACATTAAATTTTGTGGGAGTTGAGTTTCCAACACCGGTTACCTCCATTAAAACATTTGAAGCTAATAATCCTGAAATAAGTATAACTGTTTTGGGATTGGATGATGATGATTCTACAATAATCGGACCTTACTATTTTACTAATAATAAAACTAGTAAAGTATTACATCATATATACTTGCTACTTCTCGAAAAGGAGGATAAATATCACTATGTTTGGATTAAAAACATATCAAGGTATATATATATATATATATATATATATATATATATATATATAGAAATTTCTAAACTTAATTCTTTTTTATTTCAACAGATTGTTGTGTAATCAATTGACAAAATGTCATGGGAAAACCTATTTATGCAACACATGTCTACTACATTTCTGCGATATCAACAAACTGGAACGACATAGGATTGAATGCAATAAAATAGTTACAGAAATGCCAGAAATAAAGGATTCGGTATTAAGGTTTAAAAATTTTAAGAAGCAAATGAATGTTCCGTTTGTAGTATATGCTGATTTTGAATGTATATTAGAAGAGTTAGATATAAAACAGTCAGATAATATAAGAGTAGTTCAAAAGCATATACCCTATGCATATAGCTATTTTATAAAATGTTCATTTGATGATAACTTAAATATATATAGAATATATCATGGTGAAGACTGTACATTGAATTTTATACAGAGTTTACACAACGATTGTATAATGTTATACAAAAATCATTTACGTTTAGTTAAACCAGTACAGGCATTAACAACTGAACAATTAAATTCATTTAATTCAGAACAAAATTGTCATATATGTGGAGGTTTATTTACTGAAAATGATAAAGTTTTAGATCATTGTCATTTAAGTGGAAATTATCGAGGTGCTGCTCATAATGCCTGCAACTTAAATTATAAATTACCTAATTTTTTCCCCATATTTTTTCATAATCTCTCAGCATACGATTGTCATTTATTCGTAAAAGAATTATCAAAAATTGAAGGTGATGTTAGTGTAATTCCTCTAAACAAAGAATTTTATATATCTATATCAAAGAAAATTTTTATAGGAAAAAATGAGTTTATTGAACTTAGATTTTTAGATTCATTTAGATTTATGCCATCAAGTCTAGATAGCTTAGCAAGTTATTTATCAGATTCAGATTTATGTACTGTAAAATTATTTTTTGAGAAACCTGAAGAATTTCAATTGGTTAAACGTAAAGGTATATTTTCCTTACGACTATTTAAATTCAATTAATCGTCTTGATGACACACAATTACCAAATCGCGAAGAGTTTTACAATAAATTAACTGATAAATCATGTTGTGAAGCTAACTATGAACATGCACAGAAAGTATGGAATGTATTTGAATGTGTAAATTTATTAGATTATTTATTACTATATTTAAAGATAGATGTGCTTTTGTTATGCGATATTTTTGAGAATTTTAGAAAAGTATGTAAAAAAATTTATAATTTAGATCCGTGTCAGTACTATACAACGCCAGGTTTATCTTGGGACGCAATGTTAAAGACAACACAAATAGAATTAGAACTGTTCACCAACATTGATATGTACAATTTTATAATGAAGGGTATTAGAGGTGGTCTTGTTCAATGTAGTAAACGACATTCAATTGCAAATAACAAATATTTAAAAGACTATGATTGTAGCAAAGAATCAAATTATATTATATATTTAGATGTTAATAATTTATATGGATACACAATGTCACAAGCTATTCCTTATAAAAGTTTTAAATGGATGGATGAAAATTTAGAAAACTTTGAATTAAAAAACATATGTGAAGATTCATCAATTGGTTATATTTTAGAGGTAGACTTGGAATATACAGAAAATCTTCATAACAATCATAATGATTTACCATTTTGTGCTCAAAACAAAAAAAACGAAAATATGCAACAAACTAAATTAATTGCTGATTTAACAAATAAATATAATTATGTAATACACTATAGAAATTTACAACAATGTATTAAACATGGTATGATTTTGAAGAAAATTCATAGAATATTGCAATTTGATCAATCTGATTGGCTTAAAAAATATATTGATTGTAATAATTATCACAGAACGTTAGCAGTTAATGATTTTGAAAAAAAATTTTTCAAACTACTTAATAACGCAGTGTATGGTAAAACTATGGAAAATGTAGATAAGCGAAAACATGTTAAATTAGTATGTAGTTGGGAAAGTAAAGGCAGAAAATTGGGAGCTAGAGCACTAATTTCAAAATTTAATTTTGATAGTTCATTACAATTTACTGATGAAATGTTTGCAATCCAAATGAAGCATTCTCACGTTGTTTATAATAAACCAGTTTACATTGGTTTCACAATCTTAGAATTATCAAAATATACAATGTACAGTTTTCACTATGACTATATGAAACAGAAATATGGTGAAAATATTATTTTAAATTATATGGACACAGATTCTTTCATCTATGATATTAAGACAAACGATTTTTATGATGATATTCGTTTTGAAATTGAAAAATATTTTGATACATCAGAATATGCAAAGGATAATGTTTACAATTTTCCACTGTTAAATAAAAAAAAATTGGGACTAATGAAAGATGAGTGTAAGGGAAACTTAATTAAAGAATTTATAGGATTAAGAGCGAAAATGTACTCATTACGTGTTGAGTGTTATGACAATGATGAAACAATAGAAATAAAAAAAATTAAAGGAATCAAGAAGAGTATAACTTCAAAATTGACTATAAACGATTTTCGCGATTGTTTGTATAAAAAACAAAAACGAATTGGAACAATGTACTTATTTAAATCAAAATTACATCAAATCTATACTCAAGAATATATAAAAGTTGCATTAAACTATTTAGATGATAAGCGTTATGTAAAAGATGATAATGTAAACACCCTTGCATGGGGTCATAAAGATATATATATTATAGCTTTAGACTAAATAAATAAAACGAATATATTTAAAAAATTATTATATTTTATTATTTTTTCTTAATAAAAACTTTAAGCATAAATGTCCGCAGTTAAAAGTGTTGAATTTTTGTTCATTTACATAATTATATTCAATGGGTGGTTTTAGATAATTTACTAATTCGGTTGGCGGCCGCAAATCACCAAAACTATCAAAGTACTCTTTATAATTTCCATTTTTAAGATATGCTACCCAATGTGTACCACTACCGCTTTCACTATCTAAATTTACTATACCACATTCGTGGATCCATGGTTTTTTGGGTAAACGATCGCGCATAAAAACACCTCGAAAATGTTTAAGATGTTTTCCAAAACTAATTAAATCAATGTCGGTGAGTGGTCTTTTAGGTAGCATGTCTATCAGTTTTTTGGATATGGTTTATAAAATAATCCATAACCCTGCTTATACGGTTTCAAAAAAAGTCCCTTTCCCATAGCAATTGATTCCATGTAACGATTATGACGTGTTGCTTCCGATAGTTGTTGTTTTCCATTTTTAATATCATTTACAGCTTTAGCAATAGCTGATCCGCCAGTTGCAAGACCACCAAGTGCTGAAATTGCCGCCATAATTGGTACTAAAGGTAAGAATCCACCAATTTTTGGTATTGGTATCACTCTCGGAATGATTGTGTCAGCATATCTCCTTGTCTGTCGGCTTCGAAAACTTGTTGGCATTGATTTTTGTGTTATCTGAATTGCTTCCTTCATATTCATCGGATTTTTTTGTTTTAAAATTCGTGTTGTTTGTCGCACAAAGTTTGTGAATGATTTTTTATTGCAGCCTGCCGGTTTCTGAGTACGACGACGACGAGGTCTAATCGGTTTCCTCTTACGACGTTGACGCAATTTGTTATTGTTTTCCATGCCCAGACCGAATTTAACTTTTGTTTTCATTGCGTTTGTCACAAACCAAGCGGCCGCACGTTCTTTGATATCACTATTAAATGCTTTAATACGTTCCCAGGCTTTATCAGCTAATATAGCGTCAGCTCGATGACGATTTTCCAAGTCTTTGAATTGCGAATATGCGATATCGTGTTCTTTACATGCTGAATCTAATGGATTAATTCCTTTATCTCCACGTTTCAAACGTTCATCAAGTTTTGTGCCTGGTCCACAAAACTGATATCCAGGTATATGAAGTTCAATGGGTAATTTGTTAATTAAGTTGTTAACGAATCCGCTGCCAGTTTTACACTGTCTTGTGATGACTTTTCGTTTATAATTTATACCCATCGTTTTCACTATAGTGCGTGTGTGTGTGTGTGTGTGTATATGTGCTCGAAAAAAAGAATGACTGATCTGTTATGAAACCAATCACATATTAAATAAAAAGCGAAATATATATAAATATTTATAGTTTTTTTATCAGTTGATAAAATGCGGTTAATAAAGCAACACAAACAAATCAAAATACGAAATGTTGATCACGATTGTGGTGAACGGGATGGGAGTGAAAAAATTGTGCATAGTCCGTTGTTACCCAATTCGATACGTGCTCTAATTGTGGGACCATCTAATTGTGGAAAGACTAATGTTATGATAAGCTTAATAGAAAGTCCCAATGGACTTAAATTTCAAAATATTTACATTTATTCCAAGTCATTGTATCAACCCAAATATCAATATCTAATGAAATTGATTAAACCAATTAAGGGAATACAGCTGTTTACGTTTTCAGACAAAGAAAAAGTTTTAAGTCCAGATAAAGCTAGACCACATTCAATAATGATATTTGATGATGTAATCTGTGATAAGCAAACTACAATTAGAGATTATTTTTGTATGGGTCGACATAAACATATCGATTCTTTCTATCTATGTCAAACTTATACAAAAATACCAAAACATTTAATACGCGACAATACTAATTTAATTATAATATTTAAACAAGATGAAATGAATATTAAACATATTTACAATGATCATGTAATAGGCGATATGACTTTTAAGAAATTTCTGGAAATTTGTAGCAAATGTTGGAAAGATAAATATGAGTTTGTTGTTATAAGTAAAGATGCTGACATAGACAATGGACGTTATAGAAAAGGTTTTGATAATTTCATACATTTATAATTATCTGAACAGCTTTTGATCAGCTTTCAATCAGCTTCTGATCAGCTTCTGATCAGCTTTCGATCAGCTTTCGATCAGCTTCTAATCATATATATATAAACAATGTTAATTGAATATTTAAACTAGTTTAAGATTTGATTTTAAATGAACAAGAACAACAACAACAACAACAACAACAAATACAATAGAACAATGAAAACAACTAAGAAAAAAAATAATGTTTTGAACGATCTGATTCAAACCAGATTAGTGTTAAATCAAAAGCTAAAAAGTCTAAAATCTAATCAAATTGATCGAATGAATTTGCTAGAAAATACATTTAAACCAATTACAAATCCATTAAATGCAATCGCTGAACATATGAATCAAAATACAAATATTATAAAGTTGAACAATAATCATTATCAACAACAAAAACAACGAGTAGAAGGTGAAGAAAAAGACGAAGAAGAACGGTTATATATGAAAGATGGGGGACTAATAAAAAAGAAAAAAAAATATGAAAGATAGGAGACAAATAAAAAAAGAAAAATATATGAAAGATAGGAGACAAATAAAAAAAGAAAAATTTCACACAGATGAAATAGTGAAGGTGAAGCGAAAAAGAGTCAGCGTAAATAATTCAAATGTATATAGAAATAAAGTTAATAAAATCAATGGAGATAGATATTATAATACAAAGGATAAGAAGGAAACGGAATATAATGGTGATGTTGATGATGTAATAAGTTTTAATAGTTTACCACAACAACAACAACAACAACAACAACAACAAGAACAAGTTGAACACTATTTTGATGATGTTTATAATGATTATGATAGATTTCTATTAGATCAAATGGACAAACATCCTGAAATATTATCGAGCATAGATAGCAATAAATCATCCTTACAATCGAAGCAACAAGACAATTCAGACTTTTCTGATATGCTCTACAATGATAATGATAAACTTTTATTCGAACAAATGGAAAAACAACCTACACCATCATCATCTAGAACATTACCTTCAAACACTCTAGCTTTAAAACGAAAAGACAGATTAAGCGATATATATAATGCTGACGATGATGAGGAAGACGGTGTACAAACAAAGAAAAACTCTAAGGAAAATATTGAAAATCAATTAGATTTAGTTCCCACCTCCAATTCAATATTACAAAAAAGTTTTAAAACCAATGGTTCTCGATACTATTACCCCAAGAAGAAAAATTTGTTAGATAATAATGAAGATCTTAAGTTACTGTTGTTAGCTAGAGATAATAATAGTAATACACTAGTTATTCCGAAAAAACGAAAAACTAAATCGCAACAAAATAATCAAAGAAAACAAATTAAACTTGATGAGACATACTTTAATACACCAACTACTCGCGATACACTAGTAATTCCTAAAAAACGAAAAACTAAATCGCAACAAAATAATCAAAGAAAACAAATTAAACTTGATGAGACATACTTTAATACACCAACTACTCGCGATAACAACCAAAATAACAAAATCGATATACGAAATAGAATAGAAAACCCTTAAACAATAAATCAATGTTATTGAAAAACTTTGAACTTTTACAAAAGAAGAAACAATTGGATATGTTGTATGGACTAAATGTAAAAGAAAATGGAGATTGGTATTATGGGAACAGTAAACTAAAATATAATGATAACACAATTATGATGAATAACATAAAATGGAAATTGACACCCGGTTTATTTACACTGTTATTCCATGTCAAACCAATACATTACTCAAAGAAAGACTTGAAAAATTATCAACAAATTCTGTTATCAACGAACGCTCATAGACGAAAATATCAATCTAATGCTCAAATTAAAGGAAGTAAATC